AATAAGGGGGCAAACCAGGAATGAAGATGTTAGCTGCTTCTTTGACGGCAAAAAATGAAGCATTTTTGACGAATTTCGTGCTGAAACTAACGATCTTAGCTCGACCTTCATCATCGGGTATGTACTGACCCAGCTTCTGTATGCCGTTAACTCTAACGATGTCGTCGATCTTTCTAACGGCAGCATCACTGTAATAATAGGTAGTATTATAGACCTTCTTCACCGGATCCGGTGTGTATCCTTTCACCGTTTCTTTGCCGGAATTAATGAAGTCCCAGATTCCCATTTTTTCCCCTTGCTACTTACCTCGGAAACTAGGGAAGACTAGAAAAATGGTAATGGTATTACTACACTGGAAAGGAGAGCCAACTTTTGTGCTTTTTAGTGGGGCTTTTAGTCATTGTCTCCTGGTAGTCTTGGAAAATTGCAACACTAGTCTCTCGGTTATTACTATTCTGTATGTTACATTAATACTCCTTTCATGTGATATTTGACTAGAGTCAAAAACTCCAAGGTGTCTGATTGAGAAATAAGTTATTAATTATTTCGGGAATAACTATTACATTCTCTTATGAGAATAAAAAATATTATAATTTTAGTTAATTAATTTCGGAATTAGTTATTTAACGATTTCATCACAATCAAACGTGGTATAAACTCATCTCAAATTTAATTTCGAAATTAATTATCCCTTATTCTGCGTATCAAACGAGTCCTAAAATTTCCTCATAGTTTATTTGGATGGTTGTTATTTATTGTATTGTATTGTATCATATTATTATTATTATTTTAAATATGATATTTATTTTAATTATTATTTAAATTTTATTGTATCGTATTATTAAATTCGTTGTTATGTAACGATTAAAAGATCCCTTTTATATAACTACCAATTTGGTTTAATTGGGTTGTTACCTTAAAAAAATTCATCTGTCCATTATTATAATTCTATTTTACTCTTTACCCTATCTTTTTTAATAATTGCTCTTTACCCGTAAAATAATACGGTTGAATTTGTAATGTGGTTTATAGACACGCGAATTAGTTTGATCAAGAATATTAAAATAATAAGAACAGAAATAAGATTATTGAAATAACTTAAAGAAAATACAATCCTGGCTGTGAACTAAGCTTCTCCGGAAGCGAAAAAAAAAAAGCAATGTTAGGAACAAAAGAAAGAAAATAATTTGATATAGTAAGAGCAAATGTTAGATTTTGAGTAAAGATAATTTTGTGTCCAACTATGAATACAAATTTTTCTATTTATAGCTTTATTCAGGGAGACAAGATCCTCAAATCAAACTCTTCTTTAATGAGAATCAAATCCTTCTTAACGACTGCATAACGGTCAATTCTTTGTAACGGATGCTCATTAAATGCTATCTTTTCCAACCGATGTCTTCCTTCCAAATCTTCGTTCTCGGTTCTCATGCCTTCGGAATTTATTCAATACCGATCACATATTTGCATCTGGTGTCAACTATTCACTGACTCATATCTGATCTGTCTCCAGTTTCACGTGTCATCTCATAATTCATACACCGGTCGCTAATCAATCTTACCACATACATGCTCTACCTATATACTCTACTTTTTTGTAATATTCTACGCTTATTGTCGGTGTGTGACATTATAAAACGATGAAAAATAAAATAATCCATCCAAATATTATATTTATTAAAATAATACAATACAATATTATACAATACATCAAAAAGAATACGTAACAACCATCCAAACCCAAAATTGTCATGCTTTGGTATAATGGCATATAATGCAGTGTCTGCGACTAATTCCTTTTCAAGGACAACCAATGAATGAGTTTTTTTGTTCGTGACTAAAGATTACATCTAAATTAGTTTGTAAGGCTAACCACTCTACATAACATAAGAATTTCAAAATTTTGGGCTTATCAGGTTTTTCAGACTTCTCACCCACTCTTTATCGTCTTATTGTAGAGGCATCTATATATAAAGTCTGCTTCCAAGTCCCAATAAAGTCAGAGTAATTCATAAATTAAATATGATTGCTAACGACAAAAAAAAATTAATAGGAGTACAATTTATGCATTTTTACCTTTGGTAACAGGTAATTATACCATTTGACCTCTTTTGTAAGTTAACAATTCAAATTCGCTATCAAACACTACGGTTACTTTTCACTGTGAATATGCTATTTAACTTTAAGCAATATTTACAACATACTCTCTTGTTCTATACTTTTTCATACAGTACTACTATCACTATATCAAGCAATTCCTTTATGCCCCTCCTTTTTGATCAGTAAGACTGCATAGATTGAGGGCAATTCTGAAACAAATGGTTCTCTATTACTATAAAACTTTCAAATATTTTTTATTTATTCAAAGGAGAAGCCCAGATGCTCTGGTACGGAGGGGTGAGCGGCTGGTTGTGGAGGGCACGAGAAGAGGTAGATGGCGGCCTAAGAAGTATTGGGGAGAGGTGATCAGACAGGATATGGCGAGGCTCCAGTTTTTCGAGGACATGACACTTGATAGAAAGATGTGGAGGTCGAGTATTAGAGTTGTAGGTTAGGATGTAGTTGAGTCTTGAGTTACTTCGTACCATTGTGGGACTGGCCACGTAGGGTTTTTGTCTAGGGTAGCTAGTGACAATGTTGTGTTTTACTACTTCGCTTTTCAGTGCATGTCCTATTTACTAGCTATCGTTTTTGCTTTGCATCTTTCTTCTGCATTTCATGGTGTTCCTATTTTTTCTATGATTGTTGTGGTGATACTAATGTTGTCTCCTCTTGTCGTTTTATCTTTTTGTTTTCTTGAGCCGAGGGTCTTTCGGAAACAGCCTTTCTACTCCTTTGGGGTAGGGGTAAGGTCTGCGTACACACTACCCTCCCCAAACTTTATTAGTGGGATTCTACTGGGTTATTGTTGTTGTTGTTATTGTTGTTGTTGTTGTTGTTGTTTATTTATTTTTTGGCAAAATGGCCTCCTGACCACTTAAACTTACACCTAATTGCCAACCCGGTAAATAAACTTATAATTTTTTCATTTGAACACTTCTACTTGATCATAACCCATATTTTAAACACCTTTATCAGAGCGTGAACCTCAACTGCGCTGACAAGGATTACACATCACATACTAACCCTTTTATTGTTTGACATGTGTAATTAGTGAGTCCCACTTTTAATATTTTTAATTAATTTATCAAATTTTTAAATTCATTATCTTTCTCTTCTTCTCCACCTCTATCAAAACAATTCCATGGTGAACCAAAGCACCACCAGAAGATCCGGAACCACCAACTTCGTCTATCACCACCATAATTTATAGGTCCCACTTTTTAATTTCAATTTATCAAATTTTTAACATATTTTTTTCATCTTCTCCTCCACCACAACTGGGACCAGCAAGAATCATAAACCAACAAAAAGATTAGAAATTCCATTTCACTCTGCGGCGATCATATCGGAAAGCTTCTAATAGCGACCTCAGCCATAAACTACCACCACCCCCTTCATTGACAAAAATCATACTCCAAACACTTAAAATGTGAAGAAGAGAGCCTTTTTCGCCAGAACTTCATAACGAAATCAACCATCGCCATCAGAGTAATGCCCAGATCGAAGAATCGATGCGATTTTCTTCACCCGAAATTCGAGTTATGAGTTACCTTCTTCTCTCTAGATCTTTATACTAAATTTAAAAAAAACTCTAATTCCTTTTAGCCAAAATATAATAACGAAAAGAATGAAGAGGGGATGGAGAGGAAAGGTTGGGGTGAGCGATGGGGTAAGAACGAAAAGAATGGGGCGGGGGGAACGACGGAGATGGAGAGTCTGGGAACGAAGGAGATGAAAGAAAGTGTTGGGATCTTAAATTGTTTTAATTATTTTTTATCTTATGTTATTATTTAAATATTTTTATTTATTTTATTATTTTTCTATCATAACTACTACATTCACGCGACATTTAAGTGTGAGTTGTACTTAGTTTGGCCATGTCAGCAATGTTTCTTCTACGTATGCATAGTCAACAATCAGAGGTGTTTATTACTCTTCACTTTGTAAAGTAAAGGTGCTAAATTGGGAAAATTATAATTTTATTTACCGGGTTGACAATTGGGTGCAAGCTTAAGTGGTCTCCATTTTGCCTTCATTTTTTACATGTGACTTAGTCTGTAAATTACAAATATTAATATAATCCATGTCCTATTTTACGATACTATGAAATTAGATATTTTGAACATCGTTCTCAAATCCCTCTTCTTTTTTTTTCTTTTTTTCTTTTTGGCATTGCAATGCAAAGAACTTTACTTGGAGACAGAGAAGGAGAGTAATATGCAATACCTCTGCTTGCAAGCTAGGAATTTATAAAAGGGAATTAAAGAAAAAAAAAAAAGAATAGAATATCATATATGGGAATTGAACATGTGATCTAAAACAATTTTTGAACCTCCTATGCCACTTCAATATAATAGACCTTTAGGATTTAACAATTTATATATAAACAAAAGAATTTGTTTTTGCACTATTTATATAAGTACAATTTTTCAACAAGGGGATCCCCCCACTCAACTTAGCTCCGCTACAGGCTGCTTGGTATTGTTTATTAGAATAATATTTGTATTCATCCAACCAAAAACCACATCTAATTTCAATTTGTATTTGTATATGGATTAAAGAAAGCTTACAAGTGTGTCCTACAAGTAGACAGAGTTAGCCGACATATGCAATGTTGATATATTTGAGGATTGAGGTGACAGGTTGACCGGATAACACCATATTTAAATAATTTTGAGAATTAATCACTTGCTATCACAATAATATTTATTTACCCGAAAAATCAGATATAGTTAAATTTATAAGTAGTTCTAAGGATATGTGATATAACTTAACATAAATCATACGTAGAAGTGAAAATATTTAGATTCTTGGCTATAAAAATGGGATATAAATTATTTGACTAGAAGAGCGAGTGTGCTGAGTAAAACAAGCTTAAGAGATTTATTTTTCAATAAATAGAAGTAGTCTTTTCTTACAATGTGTCAACTTACTTGTGCTTACAAGGATTTTCTCCTTTTATAGTAGAGAGATCTTACTTTATTTATAATAAAAAAATATATAGTGAAGAACCCATGATGAATTATCTCTTCCTAGATTCCTGCCAAGATTCCCTCCCCTAGTACGGTTGCAACGGCTCATGTCTGCGAGCTCGATACTGGCTCGAGCTCGGTATTGGGTCGAGCCCTCGGCCTCGAGTTCGAGTTCGACATTCGGGGTGAGTGTCAATCGGTCTGTGCATCTCCGACAACCTTCTCTTTTCCTAGTGGTTCGATTCGGTCATGGGCTTGATAATGATACCGAGCCGATTCCTCGATCGGTCTTGGAGCTCGAGGCTTGTTTGTACTATCCTCGGAACTCGTCTCGAGCTCTCACTTC